CACGAACTCACTTTCGCGTCAGCTCGTGCGCGCGTGTACGCTGTGTGAGTGCGAGTGCAGTCACTATGCATGCGTGAGTCAGAGCGCTTGACTAAGTGGCATGAGCGAACACGGCAGTAAAGTAGAGAAATTAATAACTTAGTAGGGTAAAGTAGTGGGAGTCTTAGTTAATTAGCCAGAGCTTCTGTGAGTCCCAGTTTTTTTATGACCTGCAGGTTGTCTAGCGTTTGAGAAACCCTGGCGATTTATTCATAACACAGGACGGTTATGAAAGCATGTGAATGTGGTTACCTTTTTTGATTAAAGGTACGTGAAAGGGGTACGTTTTCTGACAAACTGGTATACAAAAGGTTTGGGTTGGATCTCGGGGCGAGCCTCCCCGGTATAAAACTTTGTAGATTAGCTCCCTCCCTCAGGGCATCCTACCTTCAGAGAGTCAGATAAGTCATCGACCAAGAAAAGTCCTCTCAGCTTTGTAGTCATGGAAACAGCAAACTCAGCAACTTTTTCACCGAGTTGGTCAGCCTGTTTTGGGATTTTGAAAAGAAAACCATCACCACAAAATTCAACCACTGGTGCCTTACCCCTCCCCCCTCCCTCCCCCAGTCGAGTGTTCCATTTCTTGCTACACTGGTTAACATTGTTTAATCTGCAAAATTTCTACTTACGATCAGTGTTTTTTATTTGCATGTTACTTTCTCACTTGAATTTGAAAAACAAGTATTCCAAATAGAACACACATTTACGGAATTATAAACCACTGATACTTACCTTATCCTTAGATACTTCAATGTCCTTCGATAAATATGATCTGCAATTCAAACAAAACGTAGTTGCGATAATTATCATATGACTCAATTTTTTTCGGAAGTTGTGTTGCTTCAGTTTTGGAGAATGACACGCGCGCACTTCAAGAAAGAATATTTAAATATTCGATTTATCTGAGTGAGTTTGCATAGAAAAATCATCTGACCTATAACGACTGAAACTATTATCTTTGTAGTTGGGAGTTCATTACTTATTGGTGATAAAGTGAATGCAGTCAATCTCGGAAGAGGTTAGGTTTTTTCCTTCATTATACACTGAGGTTTGCTGTAAATTCTAGTTTACCTAGCTCCTAGGCCTCGATATTTCGCTTCGGTCAATCGTTTTCAGGTCACGTGGCCCGAGGCGAAAGTTTGTGTTACTCCCCGTCTCGGACGATAGGTCATCGAAATCGATTGACCGTGAAGGCCTGAGAGAAAGCCGTACAGGAACTAGGCAATACTCTAGTCATGGCCAGCTCTAAAAAGTGTAAATGTTTCTGTAATATGAGGAAATGTTTTAGCATCTAGTTTATGAGACTCTCCCCCCGTGTCTTCGGCTTTGTAATGTGCTGATTTAGTTGTAACATGTGACAAGAAAATCACAGACCACTTTTACTTATCATTAGTGGCCACTGACCTTTTCGAGAGGAAAGAAAAAAAATGTCTGGCCACAGTTTCGCAAGTTGGGCGAACAAATCTTCCTACGTTGAAGCGCTCCTATTAAGTTTACGAGTTCTATCATGCAATTAAAAAATGGCTCCAACTCTAGTAAGTGTTCCGAAAATTGAGGAGACATTAGTGTGACATTATCAAATGACGGCAAAGTCCGCTCCCAAAACCGCGGGGGTACAAGTTTCTTACCCAGCAAAAAGAGCTAAATCATGTGTAGCAAATATATGAATAAGCTTGTTAAAAGGAATATACTCTTCCATATTTAAAACGCAAGGAACCGGCAAGGCATACTTGAGCGGGTGTTCAAATTCGCTTCTCAGAAACGCTGATCTTGCAGTTAACAAAAGTCGTAGGGCCAACATCGGAGCGAGGCAGACCAGCGCTATGTTGGTGAAAACGCTGACCACACTGAACTGTGTCAGGCAGACAAGGAGAACAAAGCCGCTGACAAACACAATGACGGACACTTTGACGTCATGCCACAACAGAATGTCCTTTATATCCATACCAGTGTCTAGCTAACTGAAAAAAATAACAATATTAATTTAATACAGCTATGACCTCGAAAGACTAGAGAGTTAATTTAAGACAACTTTTAAAAATTCAGTTGAACTTCTCGTAAGCGACCACCCAAAATGTCAAGCCTAGCTGGTCGTTTGCGGGAGGTGGTTGCTTACGAGAGCTTACCATATTGGGCAAAAATTTTGCCTCATTAGCATATGGTAACTGGAGAGATTTACCCCGTGTTTTAAATGTTTTATTCATATGAAAAGTCAATTTCAAGAAAAAATCCTGTACTTCCTATTGAGAAATTTCTGTATCTTGTACTATCCAGGAATGCAATAATGTTATAACACCATATTATCCAATTTCGCTCTATTATCTGTCAAGTGGTCGCTTACGAGAGGTTAAAAACTAAAGGAAATTGAAAAACTTTAAGATCTAAAAGTGGCCGCGTTCGCTTACGAGAGGTGGTCGCAACCGAGGTTCGACTGTAGCTGATACAATTTACATATGGCATCGACCTCCTGGAGGTTCCCTGTGCGAAACGTCTTTAAATTTAACACTTGAGTTATCGATTACAGTTTGCACTTTTGTCGAGTTAAATAAAAAATGACCTTAAGATGGATTGGACCCAGGTCGTTGAAATACCAAGCGAGAACCTCAGGGCCATCGATGGCTTAAAGCTAAGCCCAATAATATGTAGGCTAACCGCAAGCTTTCTAAGGTAAATTAGGCTAACAATAGTGCTATTTAGGCTGCCCATAGAGCTTTTACGCTAACCGGAGTGCTAGCTAGGCTAACTGTTAAGCGTTAAGACCATATGCTTGGCAGTGCTGCTATACTAATAAGTATACTACGTGATATAATTTGTCATCAGGTGTCCACCTCCTTTAGGTCGCTGTTTATTTCACTTTACTGCTTAAACAAGTGGACAATTTAGTGCTCGTTAGAGGCTTACTTTTTCCCTTGCTACAGGTTAAATGTATCGACAAGTAAATTTTTCTGTGAGATCTTGGTAACTACCGCTCGCTGTGCAGGTGATAGCTGTATGCTTTTCAGCTGAAGCCGCTGGTAATGAACACTGATGTTAGTTTGTCGTTGTTTAGTTTTCAACTACTGCCTCAGAGATGTGGAAAAATAGTTTGTCGAGAATTGTTTTAAACGAGAACTACGGGGTATTTTTCCATTCCAAAACAATTTTTTTACAGTTCTTTTTTTATATATAATATTGAGAACTTCCTTCACATAGTGGCTTTTTTTTATTGAGAACTCTTTGCTGTCGACGAATTGTCCACAATTAACCCTACCAGTCTCTCGCTTTAAACACCACCTAACTTTTGTTTTGATATTCGCTCCAGTTGGTCTCAAGGAATCAGAAAAGAGCATGACTTGCCTTGATATATTTTCTTTTCTGTTGAATATATTTTTTTTATCAATCGTCTTTGACCTTCCATGAGTGGATCGAAAATACTGAGCTTAAATTTATTTCAAAAAAGCACAAACTTAAGTATTTTAAAATAAGTGAGTGAAAAATGTTGACAGCTTTCACCCAGCCGTTAAATTAACTAGCCAAAATTCGGCAGAATTCAGCGCATTTTACAACGGGCTCAAGCTGTATATGAATCCGAGGCCACTTTTGAATTTTAGTCGAGTTTCAGTTTTAGCTGTGGTTTTCTATAAATGTGCGAAAGTCATAAAAAGTTTTGGATCAACCTCTTACATTAATCCATCAATTGCAAAGGTTCATAAAATTCATATTGGTCACACATTATAACCACAACATTTATGTAAAATTTGCCGAAACGAAAGCTTGGATAGACTACATCTGGAAAAAGTGGAAGGAAAGGAACTTTTAAGGAGGTTGAAAGCGAATGTAAGGATTTGAAGTGACCTCAACGCCCGACATTTTCTTTATGAATACAATGAAAAATATAAAAGATCATTTTAATTTAAATTTATTTTATAGTCGACGGCTTCCGTTGGTCGATCACACCCAAACAGTGTTTGCATGACGAAGATCATTCTGAATAAAATACGCTCGAAATTTTAACAGGCGTGGAACACTTTCAATTTTACCTTGATCCGAACAAATGCAACTTTCGACATTGTGATTACCACGCGAAATTTCAATAAAGGAATAAAATTCATTTTTGAACCGACAGGCATGTTAGTTTCTATGCAGCTACCAGCAAACTGATCAGGAACTTTGACCGTAAATGTAACCACACATAGACAAAAAAAATGATTTTACAGTTAACCTGTTAGCCGATAGCAACTTCAAAGGAAAATAACACAGGTTTAGAATTCCCCACCTTCAGGTCTTTGTTGATAACTCCAAATATCTTCAGCCGAGCGGATCAGGATTTGTATCTTTGCTAGAATATGGAAATGACGTCTGCAGGCAGCTGACATGGGTCATTAAATATTCAAAAACAGCATAGCTTCCGAGAGGCCACAGAATGATAATAACCTGTTATTTTCTTTTTTGTTATTTGACGGCCAATAATGCGAGGTGTGCGAAATATGACAGTGGGCTAAGGCAGTGACACCTTAAAATAGAGATTTAAAAATGTTAAGTGAGAGAAAATGCACACCCTTTTAAGCTATTGTTGATTAAAACAATACAAAGTAATTTTCCACAGGTAAATTAAAACAAATAATACATAATGTTTTGTACATTTAACTTAAGTCCTTTTGAAAAGTAGATAAATAACTCCTAAGTTAATTGGCACAGTTTGAATAGACATTAACGTGACAAGTTTGTGACAAGTGAATTAAAATGATAGCAAACACACTGAAAATTGAAAACGAGTAACCGGAACTTTCCGTAACAGCTAAGCGTTTTTAAGCAATGACAACGGTGACCCCGAGGACAACGCCTAATAAAAAATGAATTTATATTTTACCTTCGAACTGCGATCTGTTCAGTGCGCCTACTGACCTCAGAACTTGCTCAAGCTAAATATGTAACGCCAGATTTCAATTCCAAATGAAAATTCGAAAAATTAGCCGCTGTCGTTCGCGTTCTCCAAAATATGCAGAACTTAGTCTTGTGCAGAGGACTGCGAAGAAATGTGCAAAGATTTATAACGCACGTGCACAACCATTGTTTTGTTTGATGGCGATCTGGTTGCCATCTTGGTTTGCTTAAGCTCACTGTTTTTTTATACAGTGGATTCCCGATTTTTCTAACCTGGAGAGTTCGAAAAATCGGGGGTAAGATTACAGTATTCATTTCGTCTGAGGAAAACGACTTTTGGTTCAAGTTATCGATAGAAATCGGAAGAGCAATGTATACATATTATTCTCGAACCCAGCGCTTTCTCGACTTAGCCACGGCTACGTCGAAAGGTAGAGCCGGGCAGAAAAATTCCAAACTGATGCCGTAATACGATCCCTATAGTTTCCTCTGATTGGCTGCGAGCTATGTTTGCGCAGGAAATGTTCATAACCGATCCCGAGGGAAAAACAATGTTTTACGATCCACAGCTACTTTGACAATGTTATGACGAAATTCATGATCAATAACAGGACAGACGCATGAAAAACTGAAGTCGATTTGTTAAACAGACACTGTGCTACGTCATATCAGAAAGGATTTTTTTGACTCAATTTAGGCGTTACGGTATCGCGTTATCATGACTGTCTGGGTTGACAACGTTTTGTAGCAAATTTTAGGCTCCGTCCACACTACGCCGGAAGAATTTGAAAACGCAACAATCACCGGCCGTTTTGGATTTGTGTTTGAGGAAAACTCAGACGGGGAAATCGCACGATTGTCGTGACTAAATCGTGTTGGAAAAGCTCCGTTTTCAAAAGGTCTTCCGTCCACACTAAAACGCAAAACCGCCGTTTTCAAATTCCTCCGGTTTGAAGAGCGTTTTCGAAAAGCTCCGTTTTCGTGACGGATCAGTGTGGAGGGCAAACAGTAGAAATAAAGCTGCTTGTTTAAATTTCTCCGGCGTAGTGTGGATGCTGCCTTATCCAACAAAGTAAGAAGCGACGGAATGATCAATTAAGCACATTGTATTGAAGGAATCATAGATAATAATTGATCTATGACTAAAAGGTAGCAATCGCAGTTNTCTCAGCTTTGTAGTCATGGAAACAGCAAACTCAGCAACTTTTTCACCGAGTTGGTCAGCCTGTTTTGGGATTTTGAAAAGAAAACCATCACCACAAAATTCAACCACTGGTGCCTTACCCCTCCCCCCTCCCTCCCCCAGTCGAGTGTTCCATTTCTTGCTACACTGGTTAACATTGTTTAATCTGCAAAATTTCTACTTACGATCAGTGTTTTTTATTTGCATGTTACTTTCTCACTTGAATTTGAAAAACAAGTATTCCAAATAGAACACACATTTACGGAATTATAAACCACTGATACTTACCTTATCCTTAGATACTTCAATGTCCTTCGATAAATATGATCTGCAATTCAAACAAAACGTAGTTGCGATAATTATCATATGACTCAATTTTTTTCGGAAGTTGTGTTGCTTCAGTTTTGGAGAATGACACGCGCGCACTTCAAGAAAGAATATTTAAATATTCGATTTATCTGAGTGAGTTTGCATAGAAAAATCATCTGACCTATAACGACTGAAACTATTATCTTTGTAGTTGGGAGTTCATTACTTATTGGTGATAAAGTGAATGCAGTCAATCTCGGAAGAGGTTAGGTTTTTTCCTTCATTATACACTGAGGTTTGCTGTAAATTCTAGTTTACCTAGCTCCTAGGCCTCGATATTTCGCTTCGGTCAATCGTTTTCAGGTCACGTGGCCCGAGGCGAAAGTTTGTGTTACTCCCCGTCTCGGACGATAGGTCATCGAAATCGATTGACCGTGAAGGCCTGAGAGAAAGCCGTACAGGAACTAGGCAATACTCTAGTCATGGCCAGCTCTAAAAAGTGTAAATGTTTCTGTAATATGAGGAAATGTTTTAGCATCTAGTTTATGAGACTCTCCCCCCGTGTCTTCGGCTTTGTAATGTGCTGATTTAGTTGTAACATGTGACAAGAAAATCACAGACCACTTTTACTTATCATTAGTGGCCACTGACCTTTTCGAGAGGAAAGAAAAAAAATGTCTGGCCACAGTTTCGCAAGTTGGGCGAACAAATCTTCCTACGTTGAAGCGCTCCTATTAAGTTTACGAGTTCTATCATGCAATTAAAAAATGGCTCCAACTCTAGTAAGTGTTCCGAAAATTGAGGAGACATTAGTGTGACATTATCAAATGACGGCAAAGTCCGCTCCCAAAACCGCGGGGGTACAAGTTTCTTACCCAGCAAAAAGAGCTAAATCATGTGTAGCAAATATATGAATAAGCTTGTTAAAAGGAATATACTCTTCCATATTTAAAACGCAAGGAACCGGCAAGGCATACTTGAGCGGGTGTTCAAATTCGCTTCTCAGAAACGCTGATCTTGCAGTTAACAAAAGTCGTAGGGCCAACATCGGAGCGAGGCAGACCAGCGCTATGTTGGTGAAAACGCTGACCACACTGAACTGTGTCAGGCAGACAAGGAGAACAAAGCCGCTGACAAACACAATGACGGACACTTTGACGTCATGCCACAACAGAATGTCCTTTATATCCATACCAGTGTCTAGCTAACTGAAAAAAATAACAATATTAATTTAATACAGCTATGACCTCGAAAGACTAGAGAGTTAATTTAAGACAACTTTTAAAAATTCAGTTGAACTTCTCGTAAGCGACCACCCAAAATGTCAAGCCTAGCTGGTCGTTTGCGGGAGGTGGTTGCTTACGAGAGCTTACCATATTGGGCAAAAATTTTGCCTCATTAGCATATGGTAACTGGAGAGATTTACCCCGTGTTTTAAATGTTTTATTCATATGAAAAGTCAATTTCAAGAAAAAATCCTGTACTTCCTATTGAGAAATTTCTGTATCTTGTACTATCCAGGAATGCAATAATGTTATAACACCATATTATCCAATTTCGCTCTATTATCTGTCAAGTGGTCGCTTACGAGAGGTTAAAAACTAAAGGAAATTGAAAAACTTTAAGATCTAAAAGTGGCCGCGTTCGCTTACGAGAGGTGGTCGCAACCGAGGTTCGACTGTAGCTGATACAATTTACATATGGCATCGACCTCCTGGAGGTTCCCTGTGCGAAACGTCTTTAAATTTAACACTTGAGTTATCGATTACAGTTTGCACTTTTGTCGAGTTAAATAAAAAATGACCTTAAGATGGATTGGACCCAGGTCGTTGAAATACCAAGCGAGAACCTCAGGGCCATCGATGGCTTAAAGCTAAGCCCAATAATATGTAGGCTAACCGCAAGCTTTCTAAGGTAAATTAGGCTAACAATAGTGCTATTTAGGCTGCCCATAGAGCTTTTACGCTAACCGGAGTGCTAGCTAGGCTAACTGTTAAGCGTTAAGACCATATGCTTGGCAGTGCTGCTATACTAATAAGTATACTACGTGATATAATTTGTCATCAGGTGTCCACCTCCTTTAGGTCGCTGTTTATTTCACTTTACTGCTTAAACAAGTGGACAATTTAGTGCTCGTTAGAGGCTTACTTTTTCCCTTGCTACAGGTTAAATGTATCGACAAGTAAATTTTTCTGTGAGATCTTGGTAACTACCGCTCGCTGTGCAGGTGATAGCTGTATGCTTTTCAGCTGAAGCCGCTGGTAATGAACACTGATGTTAGTTTGTCGTTGTTTAGTTTTCAACTACTGCCTCAGAGATGTGGAAAAATAGTTTGTCGAGAATTGTTTTAAACGAGAACTACGGGGTATTTTTCCATTCCAAAACAATTTTTTTACAGTTCTTTTTTTATATATAATATTGAGAACTTCCTTCACATAGTGGCTTTTTTTTATTGAGAACTCTTTGCTGTCGACGAATTGTCCACAATTAACCCTACCAGTCTCTCGCTTTAAACACCACCTAACTTTTGTTTTGATATTCGCTCCAGTTGGTCTCAAGGAATCAGAAAAGAGCATGACTTGCCTTGATATATTTTCTTTTCTGTTGAATATATTTTTTTTATCAATCGTCTTTGACCTTCCATGAGTGGATCGAAAATACTGAGCTTAAATTTATTTCAAAAAAGCACAAACTTAAGTATTTTAAAATAAGTGAGTGAAAAATGTTGACAGCTTTCACCCAGCCGTTAAATTAACTAGCCAAAATTCGGCAGAATTCAGCGCATTTTACAACGGGCTCAAGCTGTATATGAATCCGAGGCCACTTTTGAATTTTAGTCGAGTTTCAGTTTTAGCTGTGGTTTTCTATAAATGTGCGAAAGTCATAAAAAGTTTTGGATCAACCTCTTACATTAATCCATCAATTGCAAAGGTTCATAAAATTCATATTGGTCACACATTATAACCACAACATTTATGTAAAATTTGCCGAAACGAAAGCTTGGATAGACTACATCTGGAAAAAGTGGAAGGAAAGGAACTTTTAAGGAGGTTGAAAGCGAATGTAAGGATTTGAAGTGACCTCAACGCCCGACATTTTCTTTATGAATACAATGAAAAATATAAAAGATCATTTTAATTTAAATTTATTTTATAGTCGACGGCTTCCGTTGGTCGATCACACCCAAACAGTGTTTGCATGACGAAGATCATTCTGAATAAAATACGCTCGAAATTTTAACAGGCGTGGAACACTTTCAATTTTACCTTGATCCGAACAAATGCAACTTTCGACATTGTGATTACCACGCGAAATTTCAATAAAGGAATAAAATTCATTTTTGAACCGACAGGCATGTTAGTTTCTATGCAGCTACCAGCAAACTGATCAGGAACTTTGACCGTAAATGTAACCACACATAGACAAAAAAAATGATTTTACAGTTAACCTGTTAGCCGATAGCAACTTCAAAGGAAAATAACACAGGTTTAGAATTCCCCACCTTCAGGTCTTTGTTGATAACTCCAAATATCTTCAGCCGAGCGGATCAGGATTTGTATCTTTGCTAGAATATGGAAATGACGTCTGCAGGCAGCTGACATGGGTCATTAAATATTCAAAAACAGCATAGCTTCCGAGAGGCCACAGAATGATAATAACCTGTTATTTTCTTTTTTGTTATTTGACGGCCAATAATGCGAGGTGTGCGAAATATGACAGTGGGCTAAGGCAGTGACACCTTAAAATAGAGATTTAAAAATGTTAAGTGAGAGAAAATGCACACCCTTTTAAGCTATTGTTGATTAAAACAATACAAAGTAATTTTCCACAGGTAAATTAAAACAAATAATACATAATGTTTTGTACATTTAACTTAAGTCCTTTTGAAAAGTAGATAAATAACTCCTAAGTTAATTGGCACAGTTTGAATAGACATTAACGTGACAAGTTTGTGACAAGTGAATTAAAATGATAGCAAACACACTGAAAATTGAAAACGAGTAACCGGAACTTTCCGTAACAGCTAAGCGTTTTTAAGCAATGACAACGGTGACCCCGAGGACAACGCCTAATAAAAAATGAATTTATATTTTACCTTCGAACTGCGATCTGTTCAGTGCGCCTACTGACCTCAGAACTTGCTCAAGCTAAATATGTAACGCCAGATTTCAATTCCAAATGAAAATTCGAAAAATTAGCCGCTGTCGTTCGCGTTCTCCAAAATATGCAGAACTTAGTCTTGTGCAGAGGACTGCGAAGAAATGTGCAAAGATTTATAACGCACGTGCACAACCATTGTTTTGTTTGATGGCGATCTGGTTGCCATCTTGGTTTGCTTAAGCTCACTGTTTTTTTATACAGTGGATTCCCGATTTTTCTAACCTGGAGAGTTCGAAAAATCGGGGGTAAGATTACAGTATTCATTTCGTCTGAGGAAAACGACTTTTGGTTCAAGTTATCGATAGAAATCGGAAGAGCAATGTATACATATTATTCTCGAACCCAGCGCTTTCTCGACTTAGCCACGGCTACGTCGAAAGGTAGAGCCGGGCAGAAAAATTCCAAACTGATGCCGTAATACGATCCCTATAGTTTCCTCTGATTGGCTGCGAGCTATGTTTGCGCAGGAAATGTTCATAACCGATCCCGAGGGAAAAACAATGTTTTACGATCCACAGCTACTTTGACAATGTTATGACGAAATTCATGATCAATAACAGGACAGACGCATGAAAAACTGAAGTCGATTTGTTAAACAGACACTGTGCTACGTCATATCAGAAAGGATTTTTTTGACTCAATTTAGGCGTTACGGTATCGCGTTATCATGACTGTCTGGGTTGACAACGTTTTGTAGCAAATTTTAGGCTCCGTCCACACTACGCCGGAAGAATTTGAAAACGCAACAATCACCGGCCGTTTTGGATTTGTGTTTGAGGAAAACTCAGACGGGGAAATCGCACGATTGTCGTGACTAAATCGTGTTGGAAAAGCTCCGTTTTCAAAAGGTCTTCCGTCCACACTAAAACGCAAAACCGCCGTTTTCAAATTCCTCCGGTTTGAAGAGCGTTTTCGAAAAGCTCCGTTTTCGTGACGGATCAGTGTGGAGGGCAAACAGTAGAAATAAAGCTGCTTGTTTAAATTTCTCCGGCGTAGTGTGGATGCTGCCTTATCCAACAAAGTAAGAAGCGACGGAATGATCAATTAAGCACATTGTATTGAAGGAATCATAGATAATAATTGATCTATGACTAAAAGGTAGCAATCGCAGTTTTGTTTACAATTATACAGACATTGTTTCAAAGAAAACCGAAAAATGAATGTCAAGGTTTCAAAGAAACCCCATTACTGGGCCTTTCAATAACATGCGGACTCTAAAATTCAAAGCTCAACCGACAAATGCGTTTTACGCTACCGTCAATCAAATGTTCGACGGCTCCTCCCAGCTTCCGGCTACTGCCGAGCGCGAGGTAATCAAAGAGTTGAGCACAGTTCAGACAACGAAACAGTGTTCGGCAGTAGTCGGAAGCTGGGAGGAGCCGCGGAACATTTGATTGACGGTAACGAAAAACGCATTTGTCGGCTGAGCTTTGAATTTTAGAGTCCGCATGTTATTGAAAGGCCCAGAAAAGCCCAAGAGTCTTTTAAGTCTTTTATTTGGCAACTGCATTATTGCAAACACAACTGCGAGTCATTTCATCATTTTACGAATGAAATAAATGAAGCCAATGCCCCGAAATAATACTGCTATTTAATACAATTTTCATTTACAAACACTGCGCTAAAGCGAAAAATGTCCCAGACAAGAAACATAGTCTCTTGTCCTAGATTAGTAAATGGCAAGAACTAAATCGGAGCGTTCTGATTGATTCTTTCTTGGTCGGGACTTTGCCATACGGACGGTACATACAAAACGGTCATAAAACGTATGCTTTCTTGTGTGTTCGAAAGCCGGAACATTGAATAAACAATCATGGCCCGAGTGCCATGTAATAAACTACTTACTAACCTAGTTTGCTCGAGCCGTACTCGGGAATATTGGCCCTCGGTCAATATTCCCCAGTACGTCCCTCGCGCTCAGTTAGTGAGAGGTTATTATTAAACGACTACCTTAGGTTAATAACCAAAATCAACCAATCAGATTGTTCCATTTGCGGGTCAAACATTTTTCAACCTAACCAAACTTGCCGAGACCGCACTAAAAGAATATCGGCCGTATCCGTACTGTCAACACCTCGGGTCAATATTCTTCCTGAATGGCCCTCACGCATGGTTAACAAGATATATGTACAGTCTGCGAGAAAGGGAAAATATCTACAACTTGAACGTTAGCAACAAAAGCACATGATTTATAAATCAAACCGGTTTCTGTTCTCACAGGGAAGTCCGTTCACTAGATGTTCTGTTGAAGCGCTTCAATAAGTTCCCCACACTTTGTCTTCACGTATTTCTCGAGTACCGTGTTACAATTGTCACAGGACTTGGTATACGATGCGCACGCGCAACCTCTGATTGGCAGTTTGTTGTAGCCCCAGCAACTGTTCAGCTCGTTAACGATCTCCAAAATGCGCGCTTTCTCCTTCAACGACTGCTCTCGTAACTGCCGTATTTCTCGGGCGTGCTGCTCTTTCAGCCAACGAAGGTGGTTGTTCAAGAGGCAAACCAGATTCTCGGCTTCAATGTTGTCAAAACCGGGACAGTTCTTCAGATCTTGGAGGTTCATTCTGCCAAGAGAAGCCAGACATTTTTCCAGGAGCCGTTTGAGTGAAAATTCTTGCGCCAAGACTACAAGTTCGACGGAACTTTGCTTCTGAAGAAGGCGCTCTTCACAGCGAGTTGCCAGCTTTGTGATTTGGTATTCTCGGGATAACTCGAGCAAGCTTCTCACATCATGTTGATCTGTAACAATTCAGTTAAAACAAAAAGTAGATTTCACCAAAAAAAGCTTCTACACAGTCAAAGTACAGGACGTCTCTTTATAAGCTTAATCCATTTAAGTTTAATTATCTTGACTGGTTATCTGACATTCTTCCTCCACCTAACATTAGTGACTATTTTCTTGAAGAAAACCTTAGCTTGCATTTTATTATCACTTAAAGGAGCTCAGTCACGATATTTTCAATTATTTTGGCCGCATGCAAAACTACCTTTAATTGAAGAAAACCTGACAATAAAAGTTTACTAAGATAGTCTAAAAACTTCAAAGAGATAATAATAAACCATAAAGAAACAAGGATGGTTAAGGACGGAGAAGATTGACAAGGATTGTAAACGACGAACTAAGAAAAAANCACATAATTACCATAAACTGCTGCTTATAAGCCCTGAACTTATACAACTCCGTAAAGGATTTTGGATGGGCTTATAGACAGAGGGGCTTATATGCAGGAGCGCTTATAAGCAGCAGTCTATGGTACCTGCATGTCCTTGATTATTTGCTCATAAAAATCTCAGTCAAATGCTATGCTGCTGTTGTAGTTGGGCGTACGTGTGCTTGTACATACATGTGTATGTTTATCAATAATGATTGAATGTTACCCTGGTTTGCTCCTAAAACAAATGCCTTACCTGAAATCTGCACAGGAAATGGATAGATCATACACAGTAGTTCATAAATCTTTTCCGCCTTCTTCCCAGGAAGAGGTATTTCAGTTGACGTTGCCTCTTTAAAGCCAGACTGGAACATTGTGTTAAACACAGGAGAACTGATGGCCAGAATGGATTTATGAACATGAAATCTTTTGTCCTCTGCCACCAAGACAGTGTCACTGAAATTCCATGGCTCGGAAAAGGTTGGTAACTGATCTCCATTACAGAACAGGTCCATATCTAATTTGAAGCATGAGGACCGTGCAAATATCTAATGAAGGAATTTCACACATGTTTATTGTCACCTATGATATCATTGCAACAGTAACTTCAAAAACTTGCGAGTACAGTACCTCAGGTACTCGCAGTACCTCAGATACTCAGGTAATTGAGACATTTTAAGCTTAATCAAAGAAAAGAAAATTGCTTTTGCAAGGCTGACACAAAGTTGTGAAGTAGGAGGGGTACTCCCTTATTGGGCTATATAGCTATATAAGTATCACCTGAATATCACTCTGGTTAGCCTTAATATCATCCTGGTTAGCCTGAATATCACTCTGGTTAGCCTGAATATCACTCTGGTTAGCCTGAATAACACTCCGGTTAGCCTGAATATCACTCAGGTTAGCCTAAATAATGCTTCGGTTAGCCTGTTTCAGGGCTAGAAAAAAGTGCCGTCTGGTTGTCCGGGACAGGTAGATTCTCTTTCAAGCCAAGTAATTTTTCACTCTCACTTGCTCGATGGGCAAGGGATCAGGTAAGTCGTCTGCCAATTAAATCATTATCAGAGCAAACTAAGAGTTGTCCAGGGCAAGCAAAATTTTAGAGCTACTTCTCCCAAGGGCAAACTGGAATTCAAGGTTTTTTAAGTCCTGCTCAGTGGAAGTGATAAACACGATTCCACTCACAAGTCTGTAGTTTGCAGTCTGCATTTTACCCTTGGTCTGCCGTCTGCACTATAGACTGACCGCTTGACATTTTTATTTTGACATTCCCCTGTTAAATTTCAAGTACCTATTTTATATACAATAAATTAATCCAGTCTTGTACTCCCAGGTGCAGTAATGCACTGCCTCATGGAACAGAGTTCAATCTTACACATCATGGTAAATTTTGCTGGATTGATCTAAATATACTGTAGCAAAAGAGGTTGATTCCTATTTAAGCTTACATAAGCTTACTTCTAAAATAAATGTTTGCCGTGAAAGATAGCGTAAAATTTATTACATTTGCTTTTCATCGTGACGGCCTCAATATAGATGGTTTCGTGCGGAAAATGTCGACAAGAGCAAATTAAGAACTATTCCCTATATAAATGACGATCATACTATTTCTCCTACCTTAAGATGAGCTATCAAAACGACGTTTTATAGATCATATTCAGTCATTTTCAGCCATTTTAGATCAACTTCGATCACAAGTTCGTCAGCGTACAACAGAGAAACCAGTTTACACTCCGTATAGTATGAACAAAATGTCACACCTTGGAATAGATAGGTCCGTCTGGCATACATATGTTGGTTTTTTTACACATATCCGACCCTTTTCTACTACGGAGACAGGAATCTACTTACAAGGTTGTTTCCCAGATGTAATCAAAATCTTTGGAATTTCAAGTTAACTGAAACGAGGCTATTAATTTTTTGTTCCTCATTACCATAAAGAAAGAGACGAAGAATAATAATCTTTCTCTTGTTCAAAAGAGGATAATTGAAGACTTACTAGCGCAAGTAGACGAAGACGTAGGTGCACTCCTATGTCACCCTTTAGCCACGGAACAGCAATTATGTAAAGCATACCACGCACTATTCTTTTGTTGTTGTTTTTTCTCCCTTATTGGAGATATTTCAATCTTCAGATAAAAAGATGCGAAAGGCAACTAGGAAATGGCCTGTGCTAACAGCTGGAAATCTGCCACGAAAATTCCAACTACTCCTGAGGAAAAAGACAAAAAATGGCGATTTGAATAAAAAACGAGTTTTTGTGAGTTTTAAAACCTATATTTTGTGGTACAGCCAGACTTTTGAGATAGTATATCTTGAATCTCGTCCGGCTTACATGAAGTCAAAAGCGCGATAAACCGCGCGAAAATGTTCATTCAAAAATCTGACAAAGCGACACACCAAAATTTTTCTTGGATTGCGGCGAGTTAGTAGCTTCTCGGGCAAACAAAAAATTTCAAACTGCTCAGTTAACCTACATATCAAGCTGACAACAAACGAAAATTGCAGTCGGTAAAAGCGTTTCTCAAAAATTGGTTAAGTTTAAATTTGGATCAGTTTTACGAAGAATTCAAAACAAACTGCACATGGTTGAAGCTTTTGGTGGTTGAAGTCTCTGTCCTTCACGGCCTCTTCAGCAAAAGGAAAGAACAATATAGAACCAGAAATTTTTTGAAAGCGAGAGTGGAGAAGAAAGCGAACAAATACCCCTGGCTTTGAGCTGTTTGAGATGCTCTCATTCAATAGCAGGTTTGTGGGTTACGTTTTCCTTTCAACTTTGTTTTTAAAAATTTGATGAGTTGCGCGTATAAGGCTGAACTTGAACACATGAATGGCTTTTAAAAATGATCTCTGTGACTTTCTTTATTTGGTAAAATGAGCTTAAATGAACAGAAGACTGAGGCCTAAAGAAAAATGTCAGAAATGTAAGCTTATATTTGTGGACGATTCACAGTCTTTCCTTCGAGCGGCTGTTTCTTCATTCACGATAGCGCGAGAGCGTTCGAGCAAAACTAAAACCCGGGAACTGAAATAATTCATCAGAGGCTACCAATGTTTGATAAAACTTCTTTTATTGAAGCTCAGAAAAACTTTTACCTTTAACGTTTTTGGAACAGAAGGATTTCGTACGTAAGACTCCACAAACAGAGATTTGTTAAAGCTCTCTTGTTTAAGTTTTGTTCGCCGGAAGCATTTAAATGGCTTCCGATGCCAGAAAAGTTAAACAAACAAAGCTTGTGCTGAATTTTATTGTCGTCAAATCGCTAAAAAATTCGCTCTAAAATTCCCGCAAGGTATTACTAACCTCCAAAAGTTGATACAGACAAGTTTGTTGTTTTTTTGATCCGTCTCCGAGTGCCGAGTGCCTTTGTAAATTTCTTATGTGGAGGCTCGGCAAAGAACTTAAACTTGAAATTTGGTTTCTCACAGGAATAATAGTCCTCATCTCGGGAAGAATTATTAGATTTTTCCATATTTCAGGAGAAGAAAAATAGGAATTAAGTTTTACAAAGTGTCAACATCGATGATAAAAATTGCCGAAAAAAAGTACAAATAAGCAAACTGACGTCAGCGTGCAACCCACGGGGAAATGGATCTAGCGTATTAGCCAATCAGAACGCACACTTCGCTAAGGCTATGTTATTTAACAAATTGACGTCAGTTTTTTATGCGTCTGTCCTCTTATTGATAATAAATTGTGTCATAACATTGTCAAAGGCGAGTGGTTCCACAGCCACAATAACAAGACCCCAAAATTGTGAAATGCCGGAAATAAATGAGGGTAAAGACGCCATAAACTTGCCGTAAACAAAGATAAGTGAATTTTATTCAAAATGACGCGAACTGTCAATAGCTTTTCTCGCTTTTTGATTGGCTACTTAAAAAATTCTATAAAATCCCATTGGTTTAAAGTTGACAGTTCGACAGCTGAAAGCTGAACTGTTGAAAGCTGGCATAAATTAAAATTTTATCCGTCTGTACTCTTATTGATGATAAAAATAAGCCAATCAGCGCGCGAGAAATAAGACAGTTATTGTAAAAATATTTTTATTTCATTTGGGACGCAACCCCTAAATAACATCCTGTTGCTAAGCGAAAGTAGCGATGCCCGGAAATATGCCGGCGATAGGATTCTAGGGCTGCTAAATTCGAAACTAAAAGAAAGACGTTTCTTTCCAAAATTTACGGAAGTTGGTCCCATCCAGGTAAATAGTGCCAAAAATCGGACTTAGAAGATACAAAAGTCAGGAACAATATGCTAGACGACAGGCCAAGATATTTGGGAGTTTTAGAAAGCCACAATAACGGAAAAACAGCCTCAGGTAAACTGGTCGGCGTCAAATGGCGTAATATTCACAAGGAGTGGTATATAAAGGCCTGATTATCCCAATGGGAACTAATAAAAAGCAACCTAATTAAACACCTAAAAGAAATTTATTTTAATTTGTTTACAGTAACGCGAAGTACCATCTATTAACGCCTATCTTTGCTTTTGTATTTTAGCAGCAAACAAGCCTGTTCTAAGAACAGGAATCAAGGCTGCACGAATTTGGATGAACGTGCTTGCAAACTATTTCTCTTTCAAACAATTCCTAACTCCCCATAAGAGCACTCGCTTAAGTTCTTAGCACCCCATGAAGATTCGAAGGAAATATTCTTACCTAACTCTTACCTTGAATGAAAGCAATACCGAGCAGTTCCGACTGAAGAATTCTCTCCTTGTGTAGACGGAATAACTTTCACTTGGATAACAACTGAAAACACGAAGACCTGAAGAAAAGAAAACAAAACAAAACAAAGCGAAACCAAACGTCAATATGATTTAAAACTACCATTGTTAAGTGCTATACTGGTCAAGTTTCATTGACCTTCTTTTGGTATCGTGCCTCGGATCAGGAGAACACAGTGAATAATCTGTTCTACGGATAGTGGTTGGTCAGTTACTTAATTTAGCGCATTGCTGAAACGGGGTTAGTCCTGAATGGGCAAGACGTTATTGACATATAATCCGGTGCGGTATTTCCTATAATAGACTACATGGTTAAGGGTTTACACCCACAGAGGTACCCTTTTCAGGCTGGAGGTGTCGTAAAGGGTGGAGAATTCACAAGTTCAAGTTTGAAAGAAGGCAGGGAAATTGCACAAATATTAGGGAATGTTGCTTACTCTTCCTCTTGTGCGCTACTGAAAACACGCGTTTGCGCGCCTTAGACATGTCGTGGGAACTTATTTATTGTGTAAACATCGATCATATCACGCATTAAATATTTCCTGATCTGTCCGTGCAGAGCTGACCTCGTTTCAGCGCAATCATATGGATTAACTAAAAACTATTGTTTATAGTGAGCAGAAACCGGCGCCGTAAAACAAATCTTTTGCCGACTTGTCCCCTTCTGAGGCATAATATTAGGAGAACGCAAGTGCAACTAAAGTGAAATAGTAATTTACAATGAGTGTTTTTTTACCAGGTTATGGTCCGGGTTTTGCTCTTTTATTGCTTTTTCTTAAACTGTCTTCTACGTTCTTTATTTCGGCTTTCCCTTTGAATTTTCTGGAAGGTAAAGATGACCTCCACAAAGGCACGCCACGTTTTCAGTGATAGAAGCGTTAGATTAAATCCAAAGCGATTGTTATGCAACAAAACTCCAGTCACCCAAAGTTATTCGCGTGCCCGTACAAGATCTATCTCAAACTACTATATCCTTCAATGGGGATTTGTAAATTTAATTTTCTCAGCTGCTTTCGACAGCAGTTTTCCTTTTTTCCCAACATCTCTATCTCCACTGTGTCATCGGCTTGTGGATGTCACGTGACAGATTTGGAAGGCAGCCATGCATACCTGCACGATTCTTTGAGTGAACACGAAGGTTGCCATTCGTGATCGTATACCCAAATTAATCTTTTTCTTTAAGTTTTTCAGCAAATAGCTTCATGTGCTGCTTGTTTTGGCGCGATTTATATTTTATTTGCGAACAGATCATTAATGTAAAATGTTCTCCATTTCGCTTATTGCTCTACTTGTTTGTTGATGTTTTAATTACACTCTTGCTTAGGGACTATTTTTTAACAAGACCATGAAGGTCATCTGGCACCTTTGTACGCTGTTCATTTTGACGTTGATTCACAAGAAAAGTGCACAAGTCAATAGAGGTACGAATGTCTAAAAACTTGGAATGTTATCAACATTTCCAATCGACTGGTCGAGTCTGTTAAACTCGACGATTTGCGATTCTTCCTTTTTGTTCTGTATCGTATTCTTTTTCTTCACCCTCCATAATAAGTCATAAAACTTCACGTTCGCCAGCAAATGGCGCAAGTAGCGACTCCCCGAAAGTAACGATGCTTGTAAAGTAGCGTTCTCAAACACAGCTTTGCNCACATAATTACCATAAACTGCTGCTTATAAGCCCTGAACTTATACAACTCCGTAAAGGATTTTGGATGGGCTTATAGACAGAGGGGCTTATATGCAGGAGCGCTTATAAGCAGCAGTCTATGGTACCTGCATGTCCTTGATTATTTGCTCATAAAAATCTCAGTCAAATGCTATGCTGCTGTTGTAGTTGGGCGTACGTGTGCTTGTACATACATGTGTATGTTTATCAATAATGATTGAATGTTACCCTGGTTTGCTCCTAAAACAAATGCCTTACCTGAAATCTGCACAGGAAATGGATAGATCATACACAGTAGTTCATAAATCTTTTCCGCCTTCTTCCCAGGAAGAGGTATTTCAGTTGACGTTGCCTCTTTAAAGCCAGACTGGAACATTGTGTTAAACACAGGAGAACTGATGGCCAGAATGGATTT